TCTCTCCCCCCGTCTCTCTCCCTCTCTCTCTCCCCATCTCTCTCCCCCATCTCTTCCCATCTTTCTCCCTCCCTCTCCCTCTCTCTCTCCCCTGTCTCTCCCCGTCTCTCTCCCTCTCTCTCTGTCTCTCCCGCCCCACTTCTCCCCCCTTCCCCCACATGTGCTTTGTGGGCTGTGCCCAGGACCTGTGCACTGGCTCCCTGTGCCGTGGCTCTCCAGGGAACTCGGTTGCACAGGTTCTCCCTGTGAGCTGCGGCTTCGTGGAGACGAGGTTTGGTTCTCATTCGTCCATGCAGTCATTGAACAAAACCAAAAGCAAAATCCTGACTGATCTTTTCTTGATTAAGCAGGAGAATACCGTATTTACCCTTTATTGTTGGTATAAGCCATTATTTCACTGAGAACCGTTAGCTGTTTAGAAGTTGGTACCTAAATTAAAGAGGAGCTAAGTGGGTCTGTGAGCGCCGTCATTAGGCGCTTCAGATAGGCAGGCAGTTACCGTGCCCACTCCCCAGAGCAGCCCTTCGCAGAGGCACCGCTCGTGCGAGTCGTAGGCATTACGCGCACATTTCCCCCAGAGATCACAATTCCCAGTAGCGCATTTGATGTTGTTAGCACAGGCATTTCAAATACAACAAACATGACGAGTAGAAGAGAATTTGCTTTACTAATCTAGGAAATGACAATAAATGGTGAAAAGCATTTCCGACTGTACTTCATTACCTTCTGACATTCAGTCATAAGTTCTTCTGTGATTGATCACACGTTTTATGGGTGAAGGGTTTGCAGTCGTGGCAAAGGGACCCCTCTGTTCAGGGATTTCGGGAGTTCTTTGAAATGAAAGTCACATGAAACTAGTTACCACCTTCTTTATAGACTCTGTAACTTTATCAGTTAACTAAGTTTTACTGAAACTGACGTAAGGGCCCAGAGTGTATTTTTAATGAGTCGAAGAAACTTTCAACAGTGTTTCAGAGAAATCTAGTGTAAAAGCATTAACTATTCATTTAAAGTGAGTTAGAAGTGCTGAGTATGTCTTTTCTCTCATTGTTTTTACTAGGATTGACCCCACACCCTTAAAAAGAAAAAGGGAAAGGGGAAGAGAAAGACAGAGACCGTGGCTTGTCACAGTCCAGGAAGAGCCACAGTTCAGAAAAGGCCGCCTGCCAGAACGCAGAGGCCAGCCCGCCAGCGAGGCTGTGCCGTGCACCTTGAAGTTTTGATTGTGGTCTTGAGATTAAAGGGCTGGGTCCCACCGCCTTTGCGGGACCCACACTGCATGGTCACTGCTCAGCAGTGGGCCGTCTGGCCATAGGAAAAGGTACTAGCTTTGCATTGTCTGGGCGGTGTGCAGGGGCTGCTTTTCTGTTCCCATTCTCTTCGTGGCCTTTTTTCCAAAGGAAGCTGCGTTCATGGCTGGTTTTGTCCGGCTTTTCATTCTGCACTGCAGCAATGTGGCGGAGAAGTGTGAGGTAGTGGGTATGCATTTTGCAAAACAGTGATTCTTTATTTTATTACAAAAAAAGACCAACTCTGTAAGTCCAGATTAAATCATTCCTTTCACTTTTTAATGGGATTTGGATGAATAGAGTAAAATATGCACTTTGCGTTCATTGATAGCATCTTTAGGCCGGGGTAATTGGGTCTTTTTCCCTGACTGAATGAATAATGACTTCATCCGATCCTCACTGAGGCCTGAACTCAGACCGCCTTTGTCACAGCACAGGGATCTGGGCTTTGAAACGTGCTCTACTTCCCTGGCTTAATTTTTCTTCATTTTAATCCAGAAGCCTATTTTTCTCAATAATTCAAGCATAAACTGTGGAGTAGTTGCAGTCGTGGAAACGGCACGAGAGCTGCCCTTGCGGAGCCACTCTGCAAGTGGAGCTGATAAATCAGCGCCTGGCCTTCAGCTGCGCCAGCCCCAGGGCAGGCACAGCCCTGCACGGCAGCAGCGGGCACGATTCTGCGAGCGGGGTCCACAAGCTCCTCCCCAGCCGGGCCCTGCCCGGGGGTGCTGCCTTTTCCTGGTTCTGTCCTTTGAGAGGCCTAGAGATGATGGAGCCTGTGCGGGGACCTGGAGGCCTGGGCGCTGTCCCAGTGCACTTGGCAGAGGGGGCCCCGTGCCGAGTGGGTGAGCAGGGCGTCCTCAGGGAAACTGCTGTCCACATTGCTGTGCCAGGGCCACCAGCAGGTTTGTGCTGCACGTGGGACTGGGGCAGCTAGGGGCCTCATGTGCAGAGACGGGACAGGAGGAGGCCACACCACTGTGTGCCAGGCCTCGTTCGGGGTCTGGAAGCAAGAAGGGGCAGAAGGAGGGTAGCCCCCAGTCCAGCCTGCCCAGCAGACCTGCAGTGTGCACTTTGGGTTGAGTTCTGGAGCTGCACACTGACACCGGCTGGTCGTGCCCCTTCCCACCCCAAGGTCTTTCTCCTGACTTCTGTGTTCTTTTGAAAAGCCACGAAGTGTTACCCAGCAGCGACACAGATTGTTGGTTAGAGGGAGAGATTCGAACCAAGCCTGGTCAGAGAGGAGCGCGTCCCCCCGTCGACTTCCTGACAGCCACCTTGTTTCCTGCTGCTGAGCTCTTGCAGGTAGAACTCACAGCTGACGCGCTCTCGGCACGCGGAGCTCTCGGCACGCGGAGCTCTTGGCACGCGGAGTTCTCGGCACGCGGAGTGGCCGTAGCACATGGCGGGCCTTTCTGTCTGGTTAGTTAGCTGGACACACAGTGACTGAGAGACTGAAAGTGAGAAATCACCCCCCAGGGGGAAGGCCATGCAGCAATCCCTTCTCCTCCGTTCTCCTCCCAAGATCTTGGGCATGCATGCACACGCGCCCGGCGTGAGCTTTAAGTTGCCAGATCCGGGACTCAAACCGCAGGTGACTATGTGGGAGTCCAGCGACATAGCCATTATGCCACCTGCTGGTCCCAGTTAGCTGACTCTTCACAGCTGCACTTAATGGACTGTGGCTAGATCTCGTTTTCTCTTGCCACAGGTTCTGTTGGTCTCATGTGCGCGTTGGTGGCGGATGTTAAAGGGGCTGGAGGAGCCAGGCATGGGGCTGTGTGCCCATAGCACCCCATTAACTGGGCGGTGGGTTCCCGAGCCCCGCAGAGGGCCCGAGCTCTTACGCAGCCCAGTGCCCTCTGATGCGTCGGCTGGAGAATTGCTGCCTCGCTGTGTCTACTGAGGCTCTGGCAGCCATGCTTTCTTGGTCAGTTAGTCTTTCAAAAGCTGGACCAGATTCGGGAGGAACGTAGGCGGCGGAGAGATGACTAGCCTGTTGGAGCTTGCTGTCTCAGTGCCCCGGGAGTCAGGAGGCAGTGTGTGTTGATGCCTGCCCGTGATGCCGGCGTGGTGGCCTCTCCCCCTGGGTACTGCGCCCTGACAGGAAGGAGCTCGCCTCTTTCCCCCCACACTGTCCGCCCTGTGGCACGTGCCCCACGTGGTGGTCTCCCAGGGCGGACTGACCAAGCTGCACCAGCTCCTGGGGATGGCTGAGCACAGCACTCAGGGATGGCTTCAGAGAGCTGCGTCCCAGCCCTGAGGAGCTGGAGCTGTGTGGGCCACGGGCTCTCGCTGTTTCCAGAGAGCCTGCACAGAACGCAGCTAACGCCTCTTGCCGTCGGTACAGGCAGCTGGGGACCCGGGGTGACTTTGTGCCATGCCTTGCGGAGAGAACCCAGGGTAGGGTGTGTGCACTGTAAAAACGTCTCGTTACAGGCAGCTCCTCTTCTGTCGCTTTTCTCCTTCATTAAGAGTTGGGTGGATGAGACACACACCCAGCCCATCCTGTTCTTGGGGGCCCTCAGTCTGAATAAAATCTTCCAGTTGGGAGAGTGCCAACCGCACATTTGCTGTCAAGAGGTGTCTCAGTGGTGCCAAGCAGGCTCCCCTCCTTTCTTCCTAAGGCCGTTAGCAGTGGGACCAGCATGATTCAGAGAAGGCGCCTCGCGCTCTGCTGGTTGCGTAGCTGACGGCCCTCCCTGGAGATGCCCTGGAGTTCTGGCTAGCCCTCAGCATCCCGCCCGGACCTGCAGGATGGCAGTCAGGAGGAGAGTCGTTACCGCACCTTGTGTTTCATTGCAGATGGGACTGCACATTCCGCGGAAGTGGAATTAAAGTGCTCGCTCGTGTGGCACACATAGTTTTGCCATCCATGCACAACTTCCCATCATGTACTCCGCACACTTCCTGTACATCATGTACCCCGGGGACACGTGGAGAGCTGTGTGTGTGAGCTGTTTGTTTCTCCCTCCAGGTTGGTTTGTTGGACCTTGAGCTCAACCAGCTGACGAAGGCGCTGTTCCTGGCCCTGGTCGTCCTCTCTGTGGTCATGGTCACCTTACAGGGCTTTGTGGGCCCCTGGTACCGCAACCTCTTCCGGTTCCTCCTCCTCTTTTCCTACATCATCCCCATAAGGTAGGTTTAAGAATTTAAATAGAACAAATGTCTGGTTTTATTGTATATGATCTTACCGAAATTTGTCTTTCTAATGTGAGAGAAATGATCCAAGCAAAGATAAGGGGAAGGAGCTGAGAAAGCTGATGAATCTTGAGGCGTCTCCGCAGAGATACTTCTCTGGAGGAGCGTGGCCAGTTGTGTTACAGCTGTCCAGAGACGCTGTCCGGATGCTGCTGCTTTCCCTCCTTTTCCCTCCTTCCTTCCCGCCCTTCCTTCCCTTCTTTTCCTTTCTTGCTACAGGCCTTGTGCTCTTGCCAGAGAGAAGCAGAGAGATACAGAGAGAGGAAAGCAGTAAAGCACCGCTGTGGGGCATGGGCACCCACAAGCCCTTCTCCTGTCTCCCCCTCCTTTGGAGATTTTGGTCACACACGTGTATGTGCACGTGTTTTCAAGCAGCCAGGTCCAAGATTTGAATCCAGCTGCCTTAACCACCACGCCAAGGGAAAGGTTGTTAACTTTTCCTTGTATGCATTTTTGGTAATGAAGTCCTCAACACTTGGGAGATGTTTTTGATAAGACACAAATCTGAATCCCACAAAGTAATTTTTATGTATCGCTGACAGACTTTCCTATTTCCAGTGCCCTTGGATTTGCGTACAACAAAGTCACATTTTAAAGTTATCTGTATTTGAAAGAGGATCTCAATAACTCTCAAGTTAGATAAAATAATATATTCTCAGAATGATAGCCATATGACCATAGATTATGGTATGAGTAGTTAATATTAAATGTCTGCTTGATTTAAAGACTGGTATTTATACTAGAAATATTTATAAGTCCATGTAAATGTTTTCAGAACTTACGTACCTGTACAGATACTCCAACATACATGACTAGCAGTGTCCACGAGAGAGCAGGTACAGCTGCATCCACCTTGCGGTCCCCGGCAGGGCCTGTGAGGGAACTGTTGTCCACAGGGTGGCTTTCTGACGCACACTGTGGCCCAGAGTCCTGACAGGTCGCAGCTTGCCTGAAAGACCAGAGTCAGGGGAACCTGAGCAGCCTGTCACCTTCCCCGAATGCTGCAGGCGGGACGCGGCTGATGGACTTGTCTGGTTGCACACATGGGCTGCCTTAAGAAAAAGGGATATTAAGGCCCAAGGCATGGTGGGCATGGGCAGTGCAGAGGCGTAGAGCCGAGTAGGCTTGGCGCGGTCGGGGCAGAGGCGTGGAGCTGTGCTAGCATCCAGGAGCATGTGTTCTGCCCGTGTACCCTGGTGTGAGGGTCTTACGTGGAATGACGTGATTGTGGCATTTGCCACGTGCACTAGAGACCACCAGCTGGTGTCCAGAGTGGTCGTGCCCAGTTCGCTTGGACGGCATCCCACGCCCTTGGCAGTGCCGCGTGGGCTGCTTCCCACTGCAGGTCCGTGACTGTTGCCCAGCGGAGGGGGAGATGCAGGGAGGCCGACTTGTGTTGGCCGTGAGTGCTCCTCGGTGGACTCTCTAAGCCTGGTTTCGTCTTCTGGGCACTCGGGCATTTCTTAGGTACTGCGGTTGCTAATTGCTCTTTGGGCACATTCACTTGCCAGAGAGAGACAAAGATGGTGAGCTGGATAGTGAGAAATCACCCCCCCAAGGGCGATGACCTTGCCGTAGTCCCTTCTTCTCCCAGGATCTTGGGTACTCACGCATACTCAGCTCTATGGGTCTGGGACTCACACCACGGTTGCCCATCTGGGAGTCTAGTGACGTAACTGCTCTGCATCTGTTGGCCCCAGGCCCTTGGTCTTGACTTTTTACTTGCCCGATTATGAAATTCTCAGAAACAGGTACTGATTTCATGTCGTCCGATCCACACATCTGCTCTGCTGTTGGCTCTCTCTCTCTGCGCGTCTCATTGTTCCTGGTGCTCTTCAGGAATGTTTTGGATCTTCATGGACATGAATCTGACATATCTTGTCATTTTGTTTAGGTCCTCTCTAATAAAATAAGTCTTCTCTAGTAAAAAGAGCAGTTTCTGATCTCTGTTCTTGGTGTAAAGAAATAAAATATTTCTATAAAAAGTTTGCAAAACATCAATTTTGAGAAACATTTTATTGATTTTATTCATCTAGAAAATTGAATTTATATATATAAAAATTAGTAAATAATGACAACTTCGTTGGCTGTGATTCCTCGCTTCCTTTACTTCTTTCTCCTTTAACTGTAGCAGAGGACTCCGAGATGCTGTTAAACACAAGCACTGGCAATGGGCCTTTCTCCTCTGCTGCCGTCGTCATGGGCAGAACCTAGGGGTTTCCTCATCAAAATATCTGCAGGTTTTCAATTAAAACGCTTTAGGTATTAAGGAAATTTTTCCTATTCCTATTGTGCTAAAAGTTGCTTTTAAATCATGCATGTGTTTAAAGATTTTTTCCTAGGTCCATTATTTTTCATCTTTAAGTTTTGTTTTTGTTTTTTTTTAAGTTTTTGTGGCCATAGGATCCATTTGATCATGAGAGAAAGACAAAAAAGGAAAGAGAGAAAATGACTCCCAAGGGGATGGCCGTGCCACGATTCCTTTCCCTTCACCCTCCTCTCAGGATTTTGGGCACTCACACAAGCGTCCAGCATCATTTCCCAGGCGACTAGCTTGGGGACTCCAGTCTCAGAATCAGCCATGTGGGATCCAGCGCCTTAACCACCGTGCCACCTGCTGGCCCCTGGTTTTCTTTAATAGAGTAACGTGGTAAATCAACCGACTGGTTGGATGTTAGGTTGATACATTTCCAACATCACACCCATCCTGCATTTCTGCGTAGGAAAACCCAACATGGTCTTAGTCTGAATACTCTCTTGTCTGTTACTAGATTCTATTTGCTTATATTTTTTGGTAAGATTTTTAAATTGTTCATGTGAGTAATTTTCCTTTTCCACCCCTGCTGTAGTGTTCCATGTCATGGTCACACAAACCTCATGGAATTGCTGAAGTGTCCTTGCTCACTTTCCTGCAAGTATTTAAAATAGAAATTTTTTTAGCCCCTGAACATTTGGATGTCAGGAAGGCCATGTAAGCTTCATTAGCTGAGCAAGATTTTGACAGATTTGATTTCTTAAATATAGAACTGTTGAAGTTTCAATTTCTTTTCTTTTTTTTGAAGAGGTTTTTACTATAGGGTGCGTGCGCTCGCCAGACAGACAGAGAGAGACGGAGAGATAGAAAGCGAGAAATCACCCCCCAGGGGGGATGGCCACACCACAATCCCTTCTCCTCTATTCTCCTCTCGGGATCTTGGGTACGCACGCACACACGCCTGCCGTGAGTTTTAAGCCACCAGGTCCGGGACGCGAACCGGAGTCGACTATGTGGGAGTCCAGCGACATAGCCATTACGCTAACTGCTGGTCCCTTGAAGTTTTAATTTCTTATGTCTATTTTCCAAAGTCTGCTTTATAGTTTTTAAGATATATGTCAGCTATTATACTTCCAAATTTATTTACAATGTTTAGTTATAATGGTTTTTCTATTATCTCGTACATAGCAGGGTCTACAAAAAAGCTCATGGAGGGACCAAGCAGTTAGCGTATGGAAAATGAATATTAGGGGAAAAAAATGTGGATTTTAAACTTCTTTGCACCAAAATAAACCTGTACTTTCATTCTATTTTCCCATGAACTTTTTCTGTAAGATCTGTGTTACATATTAAATACATTTCATTCTTGATACTTATTTCCGTCTTTCTATTTTCTCTTTTTTCTTGGCCAGTCTCCCAGTGTTTGCCCACTTTGGTCATCTTTGGGAAATACCCATTCTCATTTTTACTCTCTATGCTGTACGTTATTTTTCTGTTTCATTAATGTTACCTGTGTTGCTTTACTCCTGTCTTCTTTGGTTTATTTCATTGTATTTTTCTTACTGAGACAAATGTTTATTTGTGAAGTTTTTAGTGTTCCCTGCACCCTTTTTCAAATCTATGTGATTGAGGCTATAAATTTTCCTGTAAGTACAACTTTGGTTGCTTTTCAAAAAATGTTCATATGTAGAGTTTTTGCTGCTTGCTGTGAAGTACAGAGTATTTTAATTAACAGTGATTTGTCTTTTGACCCACGGTTATTACAAGGTTATTTCTTAATTTACAGACGTAGTCAAATGTTCTGATTACATCTTTATTTTTAGTTTAATCGCTTTTCTGTCAGATAATATTACCTTCTTCACTTCAGATCTATGAAACTTGTTGAAACTAATTCTAGGGTCTGATAGTTAGTCAATTTATAAAAACATTCTGTATGTGCTTCCAAATAACTATATGTCTTGGTTCCATATGTCTTATTAGGTCAAGATTGTTATCTAATTTTTCAGTTTCTCTAGAGTTTTCCCCTCTATCTTCCAGCAGTCATTGAAATTTGTGTTAACATTTTACGTTAGTATTATGAATTTGTCTGTTTTCCCTTGTAATTTGACATTTTTGGTGTTATGTATTTTGAGTCTTTAGTATTAGATGCATACAAATGTGAATTGTTATCTATTCCTGTTGAAGTAGGCATATTCTCATTATAAGGTAACTTTATGTCTACTAAAGCTTTTTGCATTAAATTCTACTTTGTTTTGTGTTAATGTAGCAGTGCCAGCTGTCTTTAATTTGTTTGGCACCTCCTCTCCGTCTTTCTACTTTTCACTTCTCTATATTTAGTTTTAATGTGTCTCGCGTCTAGCATATATCTTGTATTAGTATGTCATGTTGTAATCATTTCCGTTTTTATTCTGATAGTTTTTGTCTATTCAGTGCATAGACAGTTATTGTAATACTGTGGTATGTTTATTTTACATTTATTTTATTTTGTGCTTGTAATATGATTACCTCTTTGATGCTTGTTCCTCTCTTGCCCCTTTATCATTTTCTATAATTCTACTTTTTCTCTATTGTTTTATAAGTTATATAAGCTGCGTCTGTTCTGTTAGTAATTTTCATGGAAATTTAAAACATTTTTAACTCATCTGAAATTAATCAATTCCTTCACCTGTTACCTTAGATTATCTAAACTTTATTAATTGCCTACTGGACTTACACCGTTTTTGTCATTTTTAATTCTAGTTATTTCTTTTCCTTTTTAAGGACTATTTTACTGCCAGCTGTGCACTCACCAGAATTGAGAGAGAAGGGAGAGAGAAAGCACGCACTTAATGGGAGTGGCCGTGCTGCAGTCCGTCTCCTCCCTCTCCATGCCGTCAGGGTTCTGGGTACACATGCACATGCCTGGCATGCCTTCCCAGCCGCTGGCGCAGGGGTGCAAACCGCACTCGGCCACGTAGGGACTGCCTCCCTGCGGGGCACGTAACCTCTGTGCTCCACAGCCAGCCCTAATTTTAGTTCGTCTTAAACTCCAAGATATTATTATTGTTTATGTATTTCCTATTATTTTGGTTTAGTCATATTTTTTGTTTTTTATTTGTTCTTGCATTTCAGACTTTCCACGAGGAATGTATTTTTCGTCAGAAATTTATTATTATTTCCATGTAGTGATTTGTTGGGAATTCTGAGTTTTTGCTTGGCCTTATTTCTTGAAAAATAGTTTCACTGTGTATGGAATCCTAGGTCGATACATTTCTTTTGCTTTCTTTTGGCTTTTGTCATTGCTTTTTAGTACAGTTGACTCTGGAGCAGGGCAGGGGTGAGGACGGTGACCTCCTACACAGTAACAAATCTGCATGCACCTTTGACTCCCCTAGAACGTCACTGTTAATAGCCTCCTGCCGATCAGAAGCCTTACTGATAACATGAGTAACATGTATGTATATGGTGTGTATACTATAGGTTGTATCTTTATCATAAAGCAAGGTACAGAAAAGCTATTAAGAAAATCACAAGAAAGAAAATACAGGTCCACGGTATTTATTGAAAGAAAAGATCAGCGTACATGAGAACCTGTGCAGCTCAGCCCCATGTTACTCAGGGGTCAGCCGCAGTCGTCTTTTAGGTCTTCACCCCCTGTGTCCGCCCATGCCTTGTGCTTTCAGATCTTCTCTTTATTGGGACTCTCTAATGCAATGTGTCTAGATATCATTTTTCTTTTTATATAAGGCTTAGGATTTATGGGACTTCTTGAATATGTAGAAAGTTCTCTTTGATTTGTTCTAGAAATTCTCAGTCATCATGTCTTCAGATACTGCCTTTGTCCTCTCTTTTGAGAACATTGATTTAATGTTTATTAGATACCTTCCCCATGTCCTTTGTTTCCCCTAGCTTTTTGTTGTGGTGTTTTTTTATTTTTAGAGAGATTTTTGCTATAGGGTGCATGTGCTTGCCAGAGGGACAGGGAGAGACCTAGAGACAGAAAATGAGAAATCACACCCACTGGGGGCTGGGGAGGGGAGATGGCCACACCACAATCCCTTCTTCTCCATTCTCCTCTTGGGATCTTAGGCACGGCATGAGTTTTGTGCCACTGAGTCCAGGACTCGAACCATGGCCAACTACATGGGAGTCCAGCAATATTACCATTATGCCATTTGCTGGGCCCTGTCTCCACTATTTTGTCTTCTGTATTACCCACCTTTTTTTGCCTCCATGCTTTTTTCTGTATTATTTTCGTTGGCCTGTCTTGCAAGTCACTGATTTAATCTTTGGTTGTGTCTAATCAGCTCTTAAGCCAATTGATTTCTTTCTCTCTCTCTCTTTTTTTTTCCTTCATTTTGCTAGCGGGCACATGTTCTCACCATAAAGAGACAGAGAGACCAAGAGAGTGAGAAGAGAAAGCACTCTCAATGGGGCATGGCCATGCTACAATCCCTTCTGCTCAATTTTTCCCTCCTCTTGGGTCTTAGGACGTGCACTCATGCACACACATGTGCCCATCATGTTTTTCAAGCCACCAAGTCCAGGGCTCTTAACAATGTGGTTGGTCATGTTGGGTCCAACTGCCCCAGTCACTGTGCCACACAACTGGATTGCCAGTGGATTTCTTAAATTAGTAATCTTTGAGGTCAAAGATGAAGGTATATTTTCCTGAGCCATAAACACACTTGGCTCTTTGTACTTGGAAGTACTCCCTGTCATGGAGTGTTTTCATCCTGTTAAGGATTCAGAGTCATTGACTCATTTAGGAAGCTCACACCTACCCGTAGCCCCACATGCAGCTCGATAGCCTCTGGCTCACCCTCCGTGGCCCCAGCTCACGGGGGGGGGGGGGGGGCGAGGCGCAATCCAGATGGCTCTGGGCTTTTATGGACCCCCTTGCCAGGGGAGCCAGAGAACAGAGTTGCAGTGCATGGGGACTGGCATATGATCTCAAGGCAGAAGCGAGTTTTATAAGGGGAATGTACAGGTTTGTTTTGGTGCAAAAAAGTATTTGAAATCTGTGCATAGTTCTTTCATAATGTGCATTTTTTATGACCTCTATGGGTTCCTAATTCCTTTTTGGATTTAATCTGGAGTAAATTTTTTTACTTTTAAGATTTTTTTTTTTTTTTGGAGAGGTTTTTGCTATAGAGCACGTGCACTCTCCAGACAGACAGAGACAGACAGAGAGATAGAAAGCGAGAAATCACCCCCAGGGGTGATGGCCACACCGCAATCCCTTCTCCTCCACTCTCCTCTCGGGATCTTGGGCACACACGCACACGTGCCTGGCGTGAGCTTAAGCCACCAGGTCCAGGACTCGAACCGCAGTCGACTACGTGGGAGTGCAGCAACATAGCCATTACACTAACTGCTGGTCCCCTTCTTTTAAGAATTTTAAGAACTACTTCATGTAGCTTTCCTTGTCACTAGAGCACTGGTCTGCCTTGTCCGTCTCTGCCATCCTCACTCTCAGGCTCATCCCAGCACCCTGCATTTGGAGCTCTGACCTTGCGCGGCTGTCCCCTTCTCGGATGCCCTCCCCATGCCATACTGCAGGGGTGTCCTGCTGTTCCCTAGTGTCGCTGCTCGCCTTGCCCCATTCCTGAGCCCACAGAGTTCTCGTCCACCCTCTGAACCCCAAGCCTTGCTAACAGCCAGCCTCCCCAAGCCTGTGTGGACACGCTCCCCTCCCTAGCCCTTCCCACCCTGGTTCGGGCCACCTTTTCTGTAGAGACTTCAAGGCTGTTCTGACCAACAGTCATTTCTTGCATTGATTGCCTGCTCTGCTCAAGTCCCTCTCAGTCACCTGCTTGTACGTCATGGCTGACCCCCATGGCCCCCCATGTGTGGCGTCCTACACACACTGTTGCTGGGAATTGGCGAGGTCATGTTGTCGACTGTGGGTTGTGGGACTGGCAGGTGGGAGAAAGGGGCCTGAGTCCCAGTCCTACCTGAGGCCAAGCCCAGCCAATCCAGCAAGTCACGCGTCCTCCCTGAGGACCGAGTCCTCTCCCCAGGGCACTGCTGCTCCGGACCATGGCCTGCCCGGGGGCCGAGTCCTCTCCCCGGGGTGCTGCTGCTCCGGACCACGGCCTGTCCCAGGGGCCGAGTCCTCTCCTGGGGGCGCTGCTGCTCGGACTGCGGCCTGCCCGGGGGCCGAGTCCTCTCCCCGGGGTGCTGCTGCTCCGGACCACGGCCTGTCCCAGGGGCCGAGTCCTCTCCTGGGGGCGCTGCTGCTCGGACTGCGGCCTGCCCGGGGGCTGAATCCTCTCCCCGGGGTGCTGCTGCTCTGGACCGCGGCCTGCCTGGGGGCCGAGTCCTCTCCCCAGGGCGCTGCTGCTCGGACCGCGGCCTGCCCAGGGACCGAGTCCTCTCCCGGGGGTGCTGCTGCTCAGACCGTGGCCTGCCCAGGGGCCGAGTCCCCTTCCCCAGGTGTCCTCATTGTAAGTTTGCTTCCCACTTGAGTAGGACCTTTAGCAGCTGCAAGATGACGAGGCTCCACTGTGCCAGTCTCGGGAGTCAGTTGTCAATCAGAGGTATTCTTTCTGGCTAGCTTGCTTTTAAGATGTGACCCTCCCAGACAAGTAGTTCAGACTGTGGTTCCTTCATTTCCTCTCGCTCATGCACAGGCTCCCCTCGCTGACTCCCGAAGATGGTTCCCATGGCCCTTCCTCTTCCACTGTGCTGTGAGCCGTGTTTTGGGGGGTAGTGTGGACTGCTCACTGTCACCCACCCACAGACGTTGGCTGAGTGTGAAAGTGCTGACTTCAGTGTCAACAAGATAGTTTATTTTGGACTCTAAAACCCATTCGTATCTGCTTCCATGTCAAATTAAAGACAATGCAAATAAGTAGGTCCATTTCTGTAGAAGCCACGTACCTGACTGCGTTGCATGGGTCTGGGTCGCACTAAAGACCATGCTGTGTCTTATTTGGCAGTTTGCGGGTGAACTTGGACATGGGCAAAGCAGCCTACGGATGGATGATTATGAGAGATGAGAATATTCCGGGCACCGTTGTTCGGACCAGCACTATACCAGAGGAATTGGGGCGCCTGGTGTATTTACTGACGGACAAGACAGGTACTGTTCACAGTCTGTTCTCGTCGGATGGGCCGGGTAACTACTATGGGACGTCATCATGGCATGTGCCTATGTGTTTTTATGCCTGTATATATGTGCGTCTATGTTCGCTACAACAGCATGTTAGGAATTTTTCAGACTCTAAATGATCACAGTTTAATTTCACAGTTTAATTTTCGTGTTCCAGTATACATAGTAGAATGAACAACCCAGGGTACGTGGTATCAGAATGAACAGCCCTGGATACATGGTATCAGCATGAACAACCCAGTATACACGGTATCAGCATGAATAACCCTGGATACATGGTATCAGCATGAACAACCCAGTACACAGGGTATCAGCATGAACAACCCAGCATACACGGTATCAGCATGAACATCCCAGTATACATGGTATCAGAATAAACAATCCTGGGTACTTGGGATCAGAATGAACAGCCCAGGGTACATAGGATCCCCTGGATACATGGTATCAGGATTAACAAAAGCTAGATCTCTAGAGAAAGGTGATGTGTCTCTGCATTTGGAAATGTCCATAGTCTTAGTGTTTTGAATTGCCTTTATAACTCCTCTCTCTCTAGTGGCTTTTTTTGAACAAAAATTGTATGTTTGCTTTTTATAGAATGGTATTTGTGAGCTGTTAGAAGAAATTAGTAAGATGTGAATGTGGTATCTTAATAGTAGCACTTTCCTGAAGAACTTCACGACAGGCTGTCTCACCCTGAAACTCTGTGCCCTTAATTTTATTAATCCTTACTGTGTTTTTCCTTCCTCTTAGCAAGAAAACTCTTGTCAATGTGTAACATACTAAATAAAAGGCAAATAAATATAGTAAATTTAAAAGGCAAATAAATATAGTATTATTTTAAAAAGGCATTATCTGAGAATTAAAGTATCTCCTTAGTTTATTGATTTATGATTTAAGTTCTGAGTAATTCTTAGGAATCTATAAATAATCAAATACATAATATGATACAGAAATAAGTTTCAAACAGAACTGAATATATTAATAATAATAGAAAAATTCTCACAATGTGTTAGGAGAGAAATCCAGTAACAGAACCTTATCCGACAGTGGCATTTATCCCAGAAGCTGTAGTCACTGCAGTAAGACTAGACAGGAGGAGGACAGACACTTACCAACAGCGGTCACCCAGGAAGTGAGCTGGCCACCGTAACTAGGGGTCAGTCAAGTGGCAGGTTACAGACAGGCAGTAGGACAGCCCCACGTGTGTACATAGAGACACGACCGCAGGCTACAGCCCCAGGCTCAGCGGCTCCAATACACGTGAGGCACGCAGGCCTGGACCTGAGGCAGAAAAGGACATGACTGAGCAGAGGGCAAGCCTTTCTGAGACACATGGCGGAAGACCTGTCACAGGGGAAGGCGGGCCGAGTACAGCCTGAGGGTCTGTCAGTGCCTGTGGTCAGGATAAAGTGGCCCGTCTGGCACAGCCCAGCCCGAGTCTAGCTGGTGGCTTTGGTAGGCTCTGGGGAGCCATTGTCCATGCCGCGGGTCAGGGACAGGAGCTTGTCGGGCTTTGGCCCAGAGGCGGCCTGGGAAATGCACATGCTTTCGCTTCCCAGCCCCACGGTTTTAGTGCCGGCAGGAGACCAATTACAGACATACTAGAATAAAGCAAAGGTGGGATTAGGGATTCAGAAATGGGGTTGTGGGAACCAGCAGTTAGCGTAATGGCTATGTCGCTGGACTCCCACGTAGTCGACCGCGGTTCGTGTCCTGGACCCGGTGGCTTAAAACTCACGCCGGGCGCATGTGCATGCATGCCCAAGATCCCGAGAGGAGAATGGAGGAAAAGGGATTGCGGCGTGATCATTCCCCCTGGGGGGTGATTTCTCTCTTTCTGTCTCTCTGTCTCTGTCTGTCTGGCGAGCGCACGCGCCCTACGGTGAAAATCTCTCAAAAAAAAAAAAAAGAAATGGGGTTGCTTCTGGAAAGAACTGGAATCAGTTTTAGGGGAAGCCAGTCACAGCTCTCAGTGGCTCCCAATGAGACCCTCTCACAGAGTCTGCAGGTACTGGGTCTCCAGGCTGTCGTGGAGCAAAGCTGGTCTCACCTGCCTCCCACGCCGGCCAAGCCAGATGGTTGCCAGGCTGCTTGGGAGAAGCGAGAAGCGTCTCCTGGGGGACTGCTCCCTTTGGCCATAGGCCCAGGCCACAGACCACTTCTCGGTCAGCAGCCAGAGCTTTGGCAGGCCGGCTGTGGGACTGCAGGGGACACCCCTCAGCTTTCCAGCCGTTGGCCTAATCTGTGTGGACAACTACAGCCAGAAACCAAGAACCAGCACGGGGTGAGGCTAGCAGTGTGGACAGGCGGCTGTTCTCAAGGGGGTCAGTACATAGAAACCCCAGAGAGCCGTCAGGAGAAGTAGAGTCTGAGAGTTGAGTTACATAGGTAAGCTCACTACGTGAGCCAGGCTGCATTTCTGTATACCAAATACCACTTACTATAACAGCAAGTGTGGTGAGTTCAGACACTGATGTGTTAAGCCTAAGTGGGTGTAAACGTTCAAGATGTGAAAGTCTGACCAGCAGATAACATCATGGTTACATCACTGGACTCCCAGGTAGTCGACTGTGGTTCACATCCCGGACCTGGTGGCTTAAACTCACACCGGGCACGTGTGCATGCGTGCCCAAGATCCCGAGAGGAGAATAGAGGAGAAGGGATTGCGGCATGACCATCCCCCCCGGGGGGGGGGCGGTGATTTCTCGCTTTCTGTCTCTGGCACGCGTATGTGCCCTATAGAAAAAAGTCTCTCTCAAAGAAACAAAGTGGACGTCCACATAGAGGTCCTAGACAAATGGCCAGGCGCGCGGCCTCCCCGAGGGGCTGTCCCAGGTGACAGAGGTCAGCCCACACTTGGGATCTGCCTCGTCTGCAAGCCCTGGGTGAATCGAGAGTTGTGGTCCGTGTCAGTGGGAATACCAACCAGATACCCCCTTTGTAAACTCAGGGCGTGATCAGTCAGACCGGATGTGTGTGCAGCCCACTGTCCGGCAGCCCCACTCCTGCTCCCTTTCCTTTTTTCCCCAGGAACTCATTTTTTATTTCCAGATAACTGTACACAGATCTGTCTTCCCACACTGTGGAGGTGAGTCTTTTAGTAGGATCTGCACACATTCTCAGTTGCCCATTCTAATGACACCTTGGGTACGCATTTACAGAACCCACGTAGCTCGTGTTGTGCCCTAGCAGACGAGCGCTCTATACACACAGCACAGCCTGACAGTGCCAAGAAAGCCACTGTGCATAGACGGGTCTGTCACACCTGCCGGTCCTGAACTCACAGACAGCAGTGTCTTCAGTCGCTTTACCCACGGGAGAAGCCCTGCAGACTGGTTCCCTGGTACTGACTTCAGGCCGCGCCACCCGTGTCTCCTCTGCAGGGGATGCGTCTTGAACCCCTTTCGTCCAGTTCCGCATCCACACTTCCCTGGTCACTGTGCACGTCCTCCTCCTCCTCTCCCTCCTGCTTCTTCTGTTTGTATCTCGGCACTCCTTCGGGTGATCCTTTTCTCGTTACCCCGTTTGTCAGACCTGAGGACTGGAAAGGAGCCTGTGGGCTGAACGAGGACTGCTGACGGCCTGGATGCTGTGTGCGTTGTTCTTTTCGTCATGTCTGCCACGGTGCTAGAGTGGAGGAGGAGTCCAGGCTGTGGGGCAGGGCAACAGTGACCTACAGAGCCCCTGCCCGCTCCTACCACAGCAGCTGAGCGGCAGGTTCCACACTCGGGCTTCTCCCTTTTTACTGCAGACCTCTCCTCTGAGCATAGTAGTGAGCAACTCCAGTGAATGCTCACAGTCTGGGCCATCGCGTTTCAGTCCTGCCTGTCGAGTGTCAGCCTCGGGTAGATGGCCTTGGCAGCCGCTGCTGGCCGTACCACGTCAGTGCTTGGAGGCTTCGCGGAGCAAGTGCCACCGAGAGCTCAGGGGAGAGGCAGTGAGCGCGGACTGTTGACAGTGACCCATTTGTCCGAGGGGACCGCCTGCACATGCCTAAGTCCCGCGGACACACCAGTGTTACGTCTCTTTCTTGTCCTGAGCTATCGAGGCTGCTCCTCCTCCCCACATTGGGGAGCTGATTACTCCAGCCCGCATAGATTTGCCGGGTGTCTCCTGCAAAGCTCCAAGAAGTTCCCACAGTCCCTGTTTTCCAACGCAGCCTTCGCTCTTGAGCGGAGCAGCCTTTGCCATGGCTGTACCCCCTTTGCCCTTCGACGTGCCGAGCTCTCAATGCCACTGTCGGCCATTCTTCCTCCAGGTAACGGGGCCAGCTCTCCAGCTCCGGCTTGTTTAATACGAGTACCAGCTTTTCTGTCCTCTCGACAACGGCTTCTCCCCGAGCACGTCTGCAACCCAGAGGGTCTCTGGCACCCAGCACCTCTGCGTGGCACCCGGGCTTCACTCGCCTTCTTCACCCCTCACAACCGGACTTCTTCGGGTGCTGTTTAACCGACTTGGCTCTGTTCGTAGCTTTGCATTGCATGGATTCCTCCTTCACAGGTTCCACGTCGTATGGCTTAACCTCAGGGTTACCGCCAGCTTTCTTTCCTTTTCTTGTTCCTTCTGCCTGTTGCGTCTCTGCTGCTGTTTGAGTTCTTCGAGCGGCTGTCTGCTCAGCTCAGCTTCCCAAAGAAGAGCCTCCTTAAAGGGAGCACGGCTGAGCTGGGTGTGCCTCATGCTTCTGCTGGCCCGTGTCTGACTTCCTTTCTCAGTTCTCGATGGTGCTCTTGAACCTTTTCAGGACCGTACACTGCTGTGGCAGGTCATGCGTTTACTTGCTTTGATGCTGGCCGCTTCGTGGTGGCTATGGGACCTGACGGGAAACGAGGTGCCTGGCGGGCGCCGTGCGTGGACTTGCTCCTGCTCTGTCCCCAAAGGGCTGTTTGCTCTTCCACACCAGGCAACGTACACGGGAAAGTTCTAGCAGTGCTGGGTTATCAAGAGCGACACCCTGTCCCAGTACAGTTCAT